TAGTGCATTACCTTCTAAAAATGAGATTTATTGAATAAAAAGTAGTATACTCACAAAAGAATAAAATCAAAGGCATGTCACAAGAATGACAGCACGGTCCAATCTCCCTAAATGGTAGCTAGTAGGAGACTGTAGACCTCCAAATGGCTGACGCGCTTCGAGGCTGAACCTCTTCCTCAGAGCCACTGATTTTATTCTTTTGTGAGTATACTACTTTTTATTCAATAAATCTCATTTTGGGGGGGGGGTAGTTAACCTGGTAAAGAGACTCAAAAGTCAGAGACAGTTGGATCCCCAGATAGGGGAGTGAGGCAGGCCAAGCAAAGCAATTGTTGGTTTGAACTTCCCGGCGTTGAGTAGGGGTCAGGGAAAGGTTTAATGCCTACCCCTGCCATATAACATAGAGAGAATACCAAGTTTTATGACTTCCTCCTCCTATGCTCTGTGACCTTCTCACTGCCCTCCAGGGATCTTAATTAGTCTGATGTCCTACTCCCAGTGTAGGTCAACTTGTTCCCTCATACACTCTGGGGAACCCCAAAAACAGGAATATCAAATATCATGGAGAGGATGCTAGATTTTACAGCCTCCCCTTCTCAAGCTCAATGGCTTCCCCTCAGCCCTCTAGGAGTCTTAATTACTCTGATAGCCTCCCAAAATTACCTTCACACTTCCCTTTGAAAACCTCACAACAGGGATGCCAATGTCATGGAGGGGATGCTATATTTTAGTCTATATTTTTTTCAATTTTCCAGGATCTCCCCACTACCATCTAAGGCCCTAAATTACTCCGAAAGTCCCTCTCACTTTTCAGAAAGCTCTGGAACCAACTTAATTCTTCCCTGGGACCCCCCACAGGTTTCACTACCAGCATTTCCCATGCCCGAGGACTTCTCCACTGCTATCTGGAGATCTTAACCACTTGCCTACCAGGCACTTATACCCCCTTCCTTACCAGGCCAATTTTCAGCTTTCAGCGCTGCCGCATTTTGATTGACAATTGCGCGATCATGCAATATTGTACCCATATGAAATTTTGATCATTTTTTTCTCACAAATAGAGCTTTCTTTTGGTGGTATTTAATTGCCACTGGGCACTTTACTTTTTGCGCTATAAATAAAAAAGTGCAAAAAATTTGAAAAAAAAAAAGTTTATTTGTTTCTTTTATAAAATTTTTCAAACAGGTATTTTTTCTCCTTCACTGATGTGCGTTGATGAGGCAGCACTGATGGGCACTGATAGGCGGCACTGATGGGCACTGATAGGCAGTACTAATGAGGTGGCACGGATAGGCGGCACTGATAGACAGCACTAATTAGGTGTCACGGATAGGCGGCACTGATATGCAGCACTGATAGGCGGCACTGATAGGTGACACTGATTATGGGTACTGATAGACGGCACTGACTGGCATCACTGCTGGGCACTGACTGGCGGCACTGACTGGCACAACCCCTGGGCACTGACTGGTGGCACTGACTGGCAGCACTGCTGGGCTGCACTGGTGGGCAGCACTGGTGGGTGGGCACAGGTGGGTGGCACTGGTGGGCACAGGTGGGTGGGTACAGGTGGGTGGCACTGCTGGGCACATGTAGGTGGCACTTCTGGGCACAGGTACGTGGCACTGCAGAGTGGCACAGGTGGGTGCACTGCTGGGCACAGGTGGGGGCACTGCTGGGCACAGGTGGGGGAGGGTGGGGCGGAGCTAGTGGGCGCACTGCTGGGCGGAACTTGCGGGTGTCACTGCTGGGCACCGATCATCAGGGCACTGATCATCAGTGCCCTGATGATTGGTGCCGATCCCCGCTCTGACAACTACCGGTTCTCGGCAGTACTTTCCTCACGATCTGACAGCGTGAGGAAAATACAGCCGAGAACCGGCACTTGCATTTCCCTCTGATCAGCGTGTCATTGGACACCGCTGATCACGTGGTAAAAGGCCGCTGTGATTGGCCTTTTACCACATCACGTGATCAGCTGTGTCCGTAGATCGCCGGGTGCGTGCCCCCTGGGGCGCGCAGGAGAGCACGTTCTGGGAGGACATCATATGACGTCCACCCAGAACTGGCCGGCCGCGGTGAAGCCGTCATTCGGCTATGCGCGGTCGGCAAGAGGTTAACAACCCCTTCTTATTTCAGATCAATCCCTAGAAACACCTCCACCCACAGGGATCTGCAACACCAGGGAGGCCATATATCATGAGAGGGATGTGAAATTTTATGGGCTCCTATTCCTACACTACCACCACTTCAATCTTTTCACATAGCCCTCCGTGGATATAAAATTACACCAACAGCTTCCCCCTACTTCAGGGGAAACCCCAGAACCGCATTCACTATTTCCTAAGATCATCCATACCATGAAGGGGATGCCAATTTGACCTTTTCTTTTCCTGGTCGAAGACCTCCCCGTTGCCCTCCTTTGGTCTAATTTACTCAGATGGCCTTCACTTGCTTCCAAGAAAAATGCATAACCACCCTTACCACTTTCCATGCTCCAGGACGTCCCCCTCTTCACACCTCAATCACAGAAGAATGCAAGATTTCACAACCTTTAGCTTCAGAATGTCCCTGCAGCTCTCCAGGGGTCTAAATCAGCCTTTCTCAACCATGGTGCCTGGGCACCCTGGGGTGCCTTGAGGTTTCTTCAGGAGTGCCTTGGCAAAATGTATAAAAATTGCCCAAAACTTGTATACATGCCAGCGGGTGGAACAAGCCTACGAAAAAAAAAACAATGTGAACAGAGAATTCACAAGAGAAAAGCAGTTAGATAAAGGACAATGCGATACTCAAAAAATTTAATCAGAACACGCTTTTATTAGCAAATAATGAGACAATTGAGTTAAGACTGCAAGGTTGCCATCACCCCAATAAGAAACAGTACAAAAAAAACCAACCTAAAACCAAAAAAAGAAAAAAGAAAGACATCATGGCTAATCCATAAGTAGTAATATGCTATACAAGCTATAAAGTCTTTTGCTTATGCAGAAAAACACATCGGGGTGTACCACCGTGGTGGGGATACATGTATTATGAGACAAACACAATGACGATGCTTTTGACCAATCATAGAGTAGAACTGGTGTAGCCTCTATAGTAAAGGAAACAGAGACCCAATCAGGGAAAGGTCACCATTAAGAGATAGACTTGGTACCCATGTGGGTAGAGACAGTCCATATATGAATACGTATGTAAGGAAATCCCGGTGAGACGATTGGCACAAAGAAATGCGCGATCGCGCACGTGCACATGCACGGTGAAGATTGGCGCCAGATGGACTATTTAAAAGGTGCCTCTGCCTGTGCTGAGTGCTGACTGGTCTTCAGCTGTTCCCCGTTTCCTGCTCGTTCCTGTGTGATTTACTTGTTGCTGACCTGGCTTGTTTCTGACCTGACTGATTACTCTCCTGCTTGATACTTGTTCCTCACTTCGGCTCTGCTCCTGACTTTGGCTTGCTTATGATTTGGTACCTCACTGTCCACCCGTTGATGACCCCAGTTATTCCTATGACATTGCTCTTGTCTCCCATCCCAGCTTCCTGTCTTACTCTGGTGCACACCTGGCAACCTACTGTCAGGAATGGACTTGCCAATAATGGTGGGACTCACCTGCCTTGTGGGCTGCAGTACCAGGGCTGGCCAGCGGGTGCTTTCAGCAATCAGAGACTCAACCCTGCAGTCAGCCAAACACCTGAAGCTGATTACGAAGGTGTATTTAAGGGATGGCCAGACAGGCAGTCTGTGCCTTGGTGTGTGTTTTTTCCATGGGCCCCTGTATCTTGTTACCTGCATTCCTGTTCCTGCCTGACTGACTCGTTGCCGACCCTGCCTGATCCTGACCTCTGCTGACTTCTCCTGTTTGATCCCTGGCTTGTGACCCCGACCATTCTCTGCCTGACCCCCTGTACCTACCTGCCCGTTAGTTGCTGTACCCGGCTCGTGACCTGACTACTCTCTGCCTGCTCCTCCTGTTCCTACCTGCCCGATTGTTATTGACCCGGCCTGCCTGACTACGCTTGCATTGTATGTATTGTTATCTGTGGGTGGTTTGGTTTGGTTCGTTGCACTGTGTTTACATTTTAGTATTGCACTGCGTTTTGTATTGTTAGTATTAATAAATTATATTGTTTATAACATATCTGAAGCCTGCGTTTCCCTGCGTCAGTTCACATACCTCTGGTCATACCCGGAGCCCTGACATTACACCAAGGCCAATCCTGACCAGAAGTGGCTGCACAGGGAAGCCATCTTGGCTTGTTGCTGGGAAGGATGGATCTTGATGAGGTTGTGTATTTGTCGCTGCTGGTTTTTGATGACAGAGAATATGCTTATCAGACTCTGAAGGAGTATAACCGGGATCAACTGCTAGAGTGTATACAGATCGCTCATGTTCTAGTAGATCAGGGCACAGAGTTCTCTGATGTGCAACCTTTGATTCAGGTTTGTGTAGAGTTGGCTTCATCTGGTACCCCTGAAAGCAGGAATGACTTTTTGCCACCATTTAGTGCAGACCAGGTAGAGTCCCTGGTATGGTTATTAGAGGATGATGTGGATTGCTTCTTGGAGCATTATGCTGCATGTTCACCACAGGTATTAAGGGATTGTATAAACGCAGTGCAGTCTTTGACCAGACAGGCTTTGTGTAAGCTCAGCTTTGTTCAACCCATACTGCAGACATGGTCAGACTTGTTGCACCCAGCCTCAGTCAGCTTGCAACGTCATTCCTCTGCTCAAAGCACTCTTCCTGCATCCCCGACAGCACCCCCAGTGACGGCCCAGTATACTCTGCTAACTACCACATACCAGTCCCCTGCTCCCACTCGCTGCACCTATCCTTTCTTTGGCCCTGTGGAGAGGTCCTCTGTGGCGGCTGCTCCCTCCTCTGTTCCATCTTCCAGCTCTTCTCTGTCCTCAGCTGCTCCATTCGTTTGCAGACCTGCGTTTACTTGCAGTGCTCCAGTAGTTAAAACCAGAAAAAAGCGAAAATTCTTTCCAACCAGTACCATCCTGCCAGTATCCAAACCGGTGAGCCTGCCGTATGAGAACCTGCCTTCCGTGGTTCAGCCTGGTGCCTCGGCACCCGCACTTCAGCCTGATGTCTGTACCCAGCCTGCTGATCCTATCACGCCTGATGACCCAGTGCCCACTGTCATACCTGGTGACCCGATGCCCGCTGTCGAGCCAGACGATCCAATGCCTGATGACCCAGTGCCCGCTGTCATGCCTGGTGACCCGATGCCCGCTGTCGAGCCAGACGATCCGGTACCTGATGACCCGGTGCCTGCTGTCATACCTGGTGACCCGATGCCCAGTGTCGAGCCAGACGATCCAATGCCTGATGACCCAGTGCCCGCTGTCATGCCTGGTGACCCGATGCCCACTGTCGAGCCAGACGATCCAACGCCAGATGACCCGGTGCCTGCTGTCGATCCAGACGATCCGGTACCTGATGACCCGGTGCCCGCTGTCATGCCTGGTGACCCGATGCCTGCTGTCGAGCCAGACGATCCAATGCCTGATGACCCAGTTCCCGCTGTCATGCCTGGTGACCCGATGCCCGCTGTCGAGCCAGACGATCCAGCGCCAGATGACCCGGTGCCTGCTGTCGAGCCAGACGATCCGGTACCTGATGACCCGTGCCTGCTGTCGTGCCAATTGACTCAGAGCCCACTGTCGTGTCTGGTGACTCGGTGCCCACTGCCTTGCCAGATGATGCGGTGCCCGCTGTCGAGCCAAATGACCTGATGCGTGGTGACCCGATGCCCGCTGTCGAGCCAGACGATCCAATGTCTGACCCAGTGCCCGCGGTCATGCCAGTTGACTCGGAGCCCACTGTCGTGCCTGGTGACTCGGTGCCCACTGCCTTGCCAGATGACGCGGCGCCCGCTGGCGAGCCACATGACCCGATGCCTGGTGACCCAATGCCCGCTGTTGTGCCTGATGACCCGGTGCCCGCCGCTCCGCCTGGGGGCCCGATGCCTGTCGCTCCGCCTGGGGGCCAGGTGCCTGTTGCTCCGCCTGGGGGCCCGGTGCCCATCGCTCCTCCTGGGGGCCCGGTGCCCGTCGCTCCTCCTGGGGGTCCGGCGCCCGCCGCTCTGCCTGGGGGCCTGGCGCCCGCCGCTCCACCTGGGGGCCCGGCGCCCGCCGCTCCGCCTGGGGGCCCGATGCCTGTCGCTCCGCCTGGGGGCCCGGTGCCTGTCGCTCCGCCTGGGGGCCCGGCGCCCGCCGCTCCACCTGGGGGCCCGGGCGCCTGCCGCTCCGCCTGGGGGCCCGATGCCTGTCGCTCTGCCTGGGGGCCCGGTGCCCGCCGCCCCTCATGGGGGCCCGGTGCCCGCCGCTCCGCCTGGGGGCCCGCCGCTTTGCCTGGGGGCCCCGGCGCCCGCCGCTCCGCCTGGGGGCCTGATGCCTGTCGCTCCGCCTGGGGGCCCGGTGCCTGTCGCTCCGCCTGGGGGCCCGGCGCCCGCCGCCCCGCCTGGGGGCCCGGCGCCCGCCGCTCCGCCTGGGGGCCCGGTGCCCGCCGCTCCGCCTGGGGGCCCGGTGCCCGCCGCCCCTCCTGGGGGCCCGGTGCCCGCCGCCCCGCCTGGTGGCCCGGTGCCCGCCGCTCCGCCTGGTGGCCCGGTGCCTGCCGCTTCGCCTGGTGATCCGGTGCCTGCTGCTCCACCTGGTGATCCGGTGTCCAGCCCGATGTGCCTCTGCCCGGAGTCCAGCCCGATGTGCCTCTGCCCGGAGTCCAGCCCGATGTGCCTCTGCCCGGAGTCCAGCCCGATGTGCAAGTCTTTGATATCCCGCCAGTTACCAGACCCGGGCGGTGGAACATTTTGCCCAGCTAGGACTGTTTGGAGCGTCCTGAGGCCGCTCCTTGAGGGGGGGTACTGTCAGGATTGGACTTGCCAATAATGGTGGAACAGCTTGTTTCTGACCTGACTGATTACTCTCCTGCTTGATACTTGTTCCTCACTTCGGCTCTGCTCCTGACTTTGGCTTGCTTATGATTTGGTACCTCACTGTCCACCCCCCGTTGATGACCCCAGTTATTCCTATGACATTGCTCTTGTCTCCCATCCCAGCTTCCTGTCTTACTCTGGTGCACACCTGGCAACCTACTGTCAGGAATGGACTTGCCAATAATGGTGGGACTCACCTGCCTTGTGGGCTGCAGTACCAGGGCTGGCCAGCGGGTGCTCTCAGCAATCAGAGACTCAACCCTGCAGTCAGCCAAACACCTGAAGCTGATTACGGAGGTGTATTTAAGGGATGGCCAGACAGGCAGTCTGTGCCTTGGTGTGTGTGTTTTTCCATGGGCCCCTGTATCTTGTTACCTGCATTCCTGTTCCTGCCTGACTGACTCGTTGCCGACCCTGCCTGATCCTGACCTCTGCTGACTTCTCCTGTTTGATCCCTGGCTTGTGACCCCGACCATTCTCTGCCTGACCCCCTGTACCTACCTGCCCGTTAGTTGCTGTACCCGGCTCGTGACCTGACTACTCTTTGCCTGCTCCTCCTGTTCCTACCTACCTGCCCGATTGTTATTGACCCGGCCTGCCTGACTACGCTTGCATTGTATGTATTGTTATCTGTGGGTGGTTTGGTTTGGTTCGTTGCACTGTGTTTATGTTTTAGTATTGCACTGCGTTTTGTATTGTTAGTATTAATAAATTATATTGTTTATAACATATCTGAAGCCTGCGTTTCCCTGCGTCAGTTCACATACCTCTGGTCATACCCGGAGCCCTGACACCTACCATACCAGCTCTGCATATCACTACGTTCCTGAATCGGAGGTTCATCAGTCTTCAAAAGTCTCCAACTGCAGGAGCTGCAAACATCTGCTGGCGCTCTTGTCCCCCTGGTCCCTAGACACCCTCTGTTCCACTTCCAGTGGGGTCAGGTCTAGTGACACAAGTGAGGTCGACCTAGTCATTTTTCAGTCTCCATTCAGGTACGTGACAGTACCAGTCAGCCAGTGATGGAGTCTGAAAGGGAGGCCTCTGCAATGGGGGACATCTGTCAATCAATCTCTGCCTTGTCTTACATGGTGCAGAGTTTGCAAAGAAACCGTAAGCATATGGAAAACCAACTACCAACCAAGTCAGATGTCATGGGTCTCTCTGCAGTCTCAGACATAACTACCCAGACAAAGCTAAGCATGATTCATGGATCTTCTCTACCGGAACCCCGGATGCCAATACCTGAGTATTTCACAGGAGGCTGCAGGAAGTTTCGAACCTTTCATAACTCCTGTGAGCTATATTTTTCTCTGCTACCAAGAACCTTTGCATCACAAAGCACCAAAGTGGGATTCATAATTTCACTCCTTCAGAATGAACCCCAATCCTGGGCACACCACCTTCGTGAGCAACATGATCCAGCTCTGACTTCTATGGACTCTTTTTTCTCAGCGATGTCACAACTTTACGCTGATACCTTCCGTCATCAGACTGCAGAATCTATGCTTAGCAAGCTACAGCAAGGCCAAAGGACTATAGAGGAATATGTCACTGAGTTCCGTATATGGAGTTCTGACACTCAATGGAACGAGTCTGCTCTCCGCCATCAGTTTCGTCTTGGTCTCTCTGAAACGCTGAAAAATGAGCTTTCCCGAGTTGGGGTACCAACCAGGCTAGAGGACCTGATTAACCTTGCCATTCAAATCGATGGATCCGGGAAAGACGGGATGAAAGATTTAGCAGGGTTGTCTTGATCTGCTCAGAAATGGAGACTCCTGTCTCCTCACCCACTGCTGTCATATCAGACATACTCCAAAGCAAAAGAGGGCAGCGTAATTCTCCTAGAAGGAGCTTTTGGAGACCACTTTGGAGACTGTTGCTGAATGTCTTCGATGACAAAACTCCAACCTTTGCCTCTACTGTGGTGATGCGGGTCACTATGTACTGACATGTCCAGTGAGACCTCATAAGCCTTCTCCTAGCTGGTTCCATATAATGCACCCCCAAGGAATGAGTCAAACGCACCGCTCCTTCCATCTTCACTTACAACTTGCTGAAAGAACTATTATTGTTCTAGCAATTATAGATTCTGGTGCCTGTACAGTAGCTTCTTCATGGATTCTACCTTTGCTAATCAAAACAATATTCCTCTCCGTACTAAGACACAAATATTTTTGGTCCATCTGGCTGATGGCTCTGGTATCACTTCTGGCCCAGTGACACAAGAGACTATACCAATTTTCTGCCACTCCTCCTCGGGACATCAGGAATTTCTATGTCTGGATGTCATAACCTCACCAATGTTTCCTGTCATCCTCGGCATGCCCTGGCTAAGGGCACACAACCCATCCATCGATTGGCTTTCCGGGGAGATCCTCTTCCCTTCCGAATACTGTCAGACTCATTGCATTCCAAAGGAACCATGCGCTGTGACTCCTCTTCTTAGTATCCATCCTGATTCAGAGATGATGAAACTTGTCCCTGCCGCTTACCATGACTACTTGGATGTATTCAACAAGAAGAGTGCCAATGCTCTTCCCCCACACCGGCCCTATGATTGTCCTATTGAACTCCTGCCCAGTGCTGAGATCCCTTTTGGGAGAATTTACCCTCTCTCCGAATTGGAACTAGAGGTCCTCCAGAGTTATATAGATGAAAGCCTGGAAAAAGGGTTTATTCGGCCCTCTACATCACCAGCGGGAGCTGGCATCTTCTTTATCGAAAAGAAAGATCATACTCTTAGACCATGTGTGGACTATCGTGATATAAATAAGATAACAGTCAAGAACCGCTATCCTCTTCCCCTGATTCCCGAATTGTTCCAAAGGCTACGAGGGGCATGTGTCTTTTCAAACTTAGATCTGAGAGATGCATACAATTTAGTCAGAATTCGTGAAGGGGATGAATGGAAGATGGCCTTTCGAACACGCTTTGGTCATTTTGAATACCTGGTGATGCCATTTGGCCTCTGTAATGCCCCAGCAACATTCCAACATTTCGTGAATGATATATTCCGGGACTATCTTGATCTATTTATGATCGTTTACTTGGATTACATCCTAGTCTTTTCCAGCTCAATTGAACAACACCGGGATCATGTAAAGAAGATACTGGTTAGATTACGCCAACATCACCTCTATGCCAAAGCTGAAAAGTGTGAATTCGAGAAACAGACTATTCAGTTCCTCGGACTTGTGATCACTCCCGATGGCATTGCTATGGATCCCCAAAAGGTGACCTCTGTATTGGAACGGCCCATTCCAAGAGACAGGAAAGCGGTACTACACTTTGTGGGATTTGCCAATTTCTATAGGAAATTCATTAAGAACTTTTCCGGTATCATTGCACCAGTGACAGAGTTAACCAGGCAACATGTTGCTTTCAAGTGGACTCCCAAGGCTCAAGCCTTGTTTGAACAATTAAAGACCTTATTCACCTCTGCTCCTATCCTGAAGCACCCAGATCCTACCTAAGCTTATGTCCTTGAAGTAGATGCTTCTGAAGATGGACATAAGCTGTTGGAGCTATATTGTCGCAACGACAGGGACTCCAATCCCTCCTTCACTCTGTTGCCTTCTTCTTTAGAAAGGT